AATCAACTTAACTCTATCTCCTTGCTTCAACCTTTTCTCACGAGCATAGCTCCCCCATTGGCCTGACATCCAAGGCTTCTTATATTTTCCCTCGTTGCGAATGGAGACCTTGAATTCCCATGGCCGGTCTACCATGTCCATTGCAACAAATTCGAAATGATTTTGACCATTAGGGATGGGGAAATTGCTAAGGCTTTCCATCGGAAGTTCCAGTCGATTATTTGTTGCATCACTCTTGGACACTGATTTTTCCATTGCCACCTCCTCCATTTCTAGTAAATTAAAAGGGCTGAGAAAAATTTGTAAAAGAAAATTAGAAATCTATTTGCCAAATGATATGGAATCTTTTGTAGGGGTTTTGGAATGAAAATAGATCAGAGGTAATGATCTTTATTTATACCGATCAATGGGCCAATGTTAGAAGGTCCAAGTCCCTATCCGGCCGCATTCACTTGTGTGTTTTGGTAGCTTGTCGAGCTTGTTCTCTGGATATCGTTCGAAAATCCCCAAATAATCCGAAGGGAAAAGAAGAAGAAGAAAGAATAAAAAAAATCCAAGTTTTAAGAACGAACCAATTAATTAATTATTTGTATACTCGTGATTAAGACTACTCTCAGTCCAAGTGATATAAAACAATTCAAAGAGAGTCTTAACACATTATGCTCACAAACTTGCGAGATCGATTAAGTTCTCGTGGTGGGTGAGATTCTCTCTCTCTCTCTCTCTAATTCTCTCTTTGAATACGGGGATTTTCGAACAATATCCATAGTATAATCTAGCACACACCATTTCTCTTTTAATTGTTTTATTACACTAGGACTGCATTGACAATGATTGATCCAATGTTGAAAATGGTTACTACGACTAATCCACATACATCTAGGTATCTTAAATACTTTTTTTTTTATTGTGGAATCCAGTGATATATATTGAATTATATTTTAATTAAAATAGAATAAGGTGATAGGATTTATAACTAGTTGACTGAAAAAACATTGATACTAAGAGACAAATTACCATTTAAGTAAAGAACTCAAGATTAAAAGAGGTTGAAAATAGTTTTATTCTATTCAATGTTCAACATATATAAGATAAGAAAATACTTAAGATTGCAACAAATAAATAAAATATTTTTGGTATTGTTTTCTTCTTCTTCTTTTTTCTCAATTGAGATATACAATATATTTGCTACTGCTTTCTTTTATTTTTTTTCAATTGAAATATACAATGTCCATATATAATCAAGAGATACCCTATACAGTATATTAAGAAAAGAGTCTCTTTCGAAGAAAATTGATTCAAGGATATTCTTCATTTTCTCAAAATAGCATAAAAGGGATCTCTCGTTATGACGTAGTGATCAAATTATAACGTGATCAGAGCTGAAGTTTGCATGCACTTGGCTAGATAAAACCATTTCATGAGAGTGATTTAGCAGCAGGCAAAGCACTTGGCTGTAAGTTTGATTATTAAGGCCACTTTAAGTGCTTGATTAGTTGTATATGTCGGTCTTTGAAAGCAAGATAATTTTGCCCAAAACATTGAAATGATATCACACCAACTCCCTCGATAAGGGTCGTGCAAGTTTGAGTAGTCGAAAATTAAATGGAAAGATTAATGTTTCATGTCCTTAAGTCCATGGCTAGAGCTGAAGAAAATTGAAGCCAATTTTAAAACATTGAGATTTTTTCATTCTTTAAAACTACCCATATTAATGTATTCATATTCAAAATAATCACGATGATGAATTCTTATTTTTATAAAAAAAACATTTATGATTTCATATTCAAAATTATTATTTTTAATATGTATAACTTGAATCATAAATTTAATAAACTTTTAAATTAAATCATTAGCATGCATTATGCCACATGTTCAAATAAAAAACAAAATGAACAAGAAGAAAATTATTTGAGATATTATTCTGATTTAATAAATGATATGATATTTAAGATATTATTTAATTATATAATCAGTTTAATCATTTTAAACTTAATGTTAAAAAAATTTAGTAGTTTCTAAATTATATAATTTTTAAATTATTTTATTAAAACTGGGATAATATTTAAGATACATATTTTTCGATGATATAAAAAGTTAAAGAAGAGATTTGTAATAATTTGATGAATATCTTAATCAGGGCAGCTCCTCTACTATTTATATAAGTAGGGCATTATACATATGGTATGGTGTAACATATTACACAAGATAAAAATATATAAGAGGAAACATAATATTTCCTGGTTGTAACATTTTTTATTTTATAACACATCCCATAATACACCCCCTCAAGCTAAAGGTTGGTTATCCATGTGAAGCTGGAACGAAGAGAAGCAAAAGCAGAGGAAGCAAGTGGCTTTGTAAGAATGTCGGCTAATTGATCTTTGAAGGAGATGAAGCGAATCTGAATTTCCTTCTTAGTCACTCGATCACAAACAAAGTGATAATGGACCTCAACATGCTTCGTATGAGCATGAAAGATCGGATTAACAGACAGATAAGTAGCACCCAAATTATCACACTAGATAGTGGTAGCAGAACTAGAAGAGAAACATAAATCTGACAAAAGATAGCGAAGCCAGAACCTCAGCAATACCATCAACTAAGACCTTATACTCTGTTTTAGTAGAGGAGCAAGCAACAGCGCGTTGCTTTCCAGATTTCCATGAAATGAGAGTGATGCCAAGAAATACAATATATCCACCAATGAATTTTTTATCATCAATATGCCAGCCTATTCAACATTAGTAAAACCATGTAGAGATAAAATAGAGTCACTAAATAAGTTTGAGACCAAAGGAGGATGTACCTTTCAAGTATCACAGGATACACTTAACAGCGGCCCGAAGGCCTTCAGTAAGAGTATACATAAACTAACATACCTTGTTCACAGCATAGCAGATGTCTGGTCGAGTAAATATGAGATACTAAAAAGTACCAACAATTTGACAGAAGTGAGTAGGATCCAAAAGCAACACAATACACTACAAATCAAGTTTGCAAACTAAAGTTGGCGTGTCAATAGGTTTACACGATGACATACCCACATGACTCAGAATATCAAGAACATACTTATGTTAACTAAGCACTAGACCCACATTGGTGGGAGCAATTTCAATCCCCAAAAAATAATGTGCATGACTCAAATCACGAAGTTTAAACTTCAAACTCAGTTAGGTAATGAGGCAATGAATCAATTCAGAGTTATTATTGGTAAGTAAGATGTCATCCATATAGACAAGTAAGTAACAAATATCATGATTCACATTCAGAATAAATCAGGAGGTATCAACATTTAAAGCCTGAAAAAAAATAGTCACGAGGAAATCACCTGGTCGCATGTACCAGGCCCGCGGTGCTTGTTTTAAGCCATAGAGAGATTTGTGAAGGCAACAGACATGAGTGGGAAAAGCATAGTCAACAAAGCCTAGGGGTTGTTACATGTAAGCAACCTTACGAAGTGAGTCATTAAAGAAAGCATTGTGAACATCAAATTGCCAGATCAACCATCCTTTTGAGACAGCAATCGTGAGGACTAACCGAACAATAGCCGGTTTGACAACAAGACTAAAGGTTTCTGAATAATTGATACCTTCTTGTTGGGTGAACCCCCCGCGTAACCAAGCGAGCCTTGTAACAGTCAATGGCCCCATCAACACGGTACTTGATTTTATAGACCCATCAGTAGCCAGCAATGTTCATAGATGAATCAAATGACACTAATGACCAAGTGGCATTGGCATGTAAGGCTGCAATTTCATCCTTCATGGCAGTATGCTAGTATAAGTATTGGTCAGCTTTCTTAAAACTCAGAGGCTCAAAAGTAGAGGGGGACATTACTCGTGAAGCTAAAATTGGCAAAGTAGATCCAGAGATGATGTTGGCAATCTTCTGCTATCTAGGACACGGCATCATGGGATGTTGCCAAATGGGTGGCAGAGCAGAAGGTTGATCAGTGGAGGTCTATTGTGAAAGAGAATATATGGAGAGATTCACGTATACATCCTACCAGGAAGGGACTGAGTAGAGTGCCGAGATGGAGAAGAAGATGCGGACGACAAGGATGGAGAGGTTGCAACGGAGGGTGAATCCGATGGAGATAATGTTGGCACTGTAAAACCTGAACTTGCAAAATAATCAAGAGACATATATAGAAATGATGGTGAGGGGACCGGCAGGTTAATGGGAAGGGGAGGTGGGGCTGATACTGGTTGAGATGGAAAGATGGTGAGGGAGGGTAGGTTGGTGATGCGGATCAGCCTAACACCAAGCATAATCATGCCAACAACCCATTGGAGGTGCCAATTGGGCCTATCACAAGAGCTAAGGCTAAGAAGCTTAAAGAAGCATTGAATGGGCTTGTTCAGAACATATGGAACAAAATGGACCTAGAGAGGCTTGGAACATTTAAGGAGCATGAAGGACAGCCTTTAATTCATTTAGTTCAGGTCCAAGAAGAGCCCAATTCATGTGGAACAAGGGGTTGATGTGTACGGCCCAATACCAGCCTTGTTAGGCTTGTCTTTTCTAATACTACAAGGATAAAGAGTCAGCAATTTATTCTCCTAACTGATTAGTACTTAAAAGTGCATTTTTATCATGGTTTTATATCATCATTTTGCACTTGAAGTATCAATAACTCCTTAACTAAAATATGTTTTTTA